GTCTGTTTCTTTCACATTTTTTTTATCTACATGCAATGTAGAACTGGTTAAGAAATAAAAAAAATGTGAAAGAAACAGACATACTAAGACAATTGTAGCGATACAGTATATTTCTTTATTGCTGCTTTGTCTCTCTTTACCATTTATGAATGCTGCATCTGTTTGAATTGTTTGCTCTCTATTTGCAGTACACAGGTGCTCTAACATATGACGGGGTGAAAGTCATGTCCACGGCCTTTCAAAATTTAAGAAGACAGAGGATAGACATCTCTCGCCGGGGCAATGCTGGAGAGTGTCTGGCCAACCCACCAGCCCCTTGGGGACAGGGAATAGACATCCAGAGAGCCTTGCAGCAGGTCTGCACTCACACACACCCATGCATATACAAACTGCACAAAGATACCAAAATCCTTGACTGGCACGTTGGCTAACAGCTCCTAAGTTGTGGCTGGCTGAACAAATTAGGTCTCATTCTGTTGTGTAAAGTTCACATTAAGTCATAGGAGAAATCCCTAGTATCAAATGTGACATCATGACTAGTAAACAAAACCTGCAGGCAATATTACTCAACTATGATTATCATGGGATATGACGTTAATAATTGAGTTTAGAAATGTAATATTTGGCCATGGAATAGGAAATGGTGACCTGGCTGTGAGGCTACTTGATCTCAGAGGGAAATGCAGACACTCTTGTCATCTTGGAGCAGAGGTATTTTTTTTTACTAGTATATTCTTAAGAGTTGTATTAGATTTTTTTAATTATTATTTGGGATTGACATTAAGTATGGTGGACAAATATGAAAATATGTGAGTGTGTACTTACAGCTCTGTCCTGCTGAGGTCTGTTCAGAGCCATCTGCCTGCAGACAGACTGAAGATGGGAGCAGTGTTCGCTCAATTAATCCCATCACCAAGCCAAGACAAACACACACTGCACTGTACACATCTACATACACACACCGTCTGTCATTCACCTCCGCAGGGACCTGAACTCTGCGGACTTTCACAAATGAATACTATCCAAACACTTGCAAACTGTTCTCACCACACTCTGCATTGTAATTGTGACACGTGAATGTTTGCTGGGATTCAACCATGTACCAGGCGTTTGAGGGATTTCAGCCTCTGCATGACCTGTTCTTTATCTCTGACGTCATTCCAGGTCCGCATTGATGGATTGACTGGTCACATTCAGTTTAACGAGAAAGGTCGCAGAACCAACTACACTGTTAGTGTCATGGAATTAGCCCCCTCTGGACCCAAGAAGGTAAGCCTGAGGCATCAGCTGAAGTCTTTAACGCAGTTGTAGTTGGTTTTCCAGCCATTATTTCCAAATATCACTGTTTCTTTTTTAAGGATATTATCTCACTAGGCTGCAAATGTTAGACTAGTTATCAACTGAAAATAGCAAGAAAATAGGCAACTTTCCATGCAGTCTCACTGAATTCTGAGTATTTGCGACCTGCTAGCTGTGTGGCCACATTTTATTCAAAATCATGGGCTCTTTTTTGAGGCTTGCAAATCTGCATTTAGTCAAGCGCATTTGTTCGCTGCCCATCTCAGCCCACATTGTATCTGCCCATTTTGGTCCGCTTAGTTGCAGCCACCCCATGTATCTGATCTAATCTGCTGGAGTACACTTTTGAACGGAACACAGGCAAACTGTGACAATTTTAATCATTAGTATTTTTCTTCAGAGTGGTTTTTAGACATGCACATTCAGATCTGTAGCCTTGGATAGGCCTGTCACGATAACTAATTTTGCTGGGCAATTAATTGTCTCAGAAATTGTTGCGATAAACGATAATATTATTTGAAATTTAACAATAATTAATTGGCAAATTTTAGAAAAAATATTGGAAGAAATGTTGATATTGTAGGAGAGTACCTTTTTTGACCACCTGATGGCAGTATAAGACTGTTTGAACCAAAGGATGAGATGGCTAGTTGAGCAGCGTGTCTCTTTAAGAAAAAAGGAAGGGAGGGCTCTTGACGTGACATGGGCTGACGTGGCGAACGCTCCGTGATTTGAGCTCTTTAGCATATACTGTAATCTTTTAAAAAAAAACATGCACACAGTATGTAATATAGGGTTTCCTACTACTATCAGATTACACACAGTGCATGTCAATGATGGGTTTCCCTTTATTAGGATCTGTTTAACCAACTTGAGGAAGACACTTTGTGCCACTTTTTCACAAGATGACACAATTTTCAGGGGTGTTAATGAGACGGTGCTGTGAGCTTTGGTAAAAATGTAACAGGATTACAAAGCACTCTTAAATGGTTTGAGGTATTTTCTTTACAGCTGATTTTAGAGGGCTGTCGTGTGAAACTTGACTCCTCACTTTCCCTTTCTGCTGTTGGTTTTCTGAGAAGAGTGTAAACAACTCAGCTGAACTCTTGAAAAATGCCTCACCACCCAGCTGTTAAAGATCACAGTTTTATCCTTTATTTCATCTGCAGTTGATATTGCAACATACAACTTGAAAGGTTTTTAAAAACAAAACAGCAGATATTTGTAATTTTTGTACACATTCTCTGCCATACACAGGGAGAAAGGTATACTGTACATTCAAGCTCAAATATATACACTCACCCCCACTAATACTTGGCTTAATCTTCTTCAACAAGTTTCCACCTTCATTAAATACCTCTGACATAATTCTGACTATTCGTCCATTCTTCTTGGCAGAATTTGTAGTTTATTTAAATTGTTTGGTTTTCTTGCAGTCATCACTTTTACAGCATGATCCACAAAATTTATGTAGCTTGGGACCATTCCAAGAGATAAATGACTTACCAACTGGTTTTGATATGTTTGGTACTGTTGTTCTGTTGGAACCATCAGCATCATTGAAGATGGAAAAAACATCTCCGCTTTCTCCTACTGTCCACAAGTAAAGTCAAATGTCTGTTTTGGGTGCTGCCATGTATTTTTGCAGCCAGAGATCATTTGGGTTATAAGGCTGTATTTGGGATATGAAAGTCTTACCTGCTCAACCTCCTTGTCATACTGTCAATCATTGTGTAACATGGCATTTTCTTAAAACCTCAAATAACTCAATGCATCTAAACATGTGGAAAAAATGCATATTTGAACATACAGCAAGGCAGCACCTCTACGACAAACAACAAAACATCAATAGATAAATCAATTCTGTGTATTTTTCGTTTTAGTCAAGAAAATGCCCCATTCATTTAAATAGAGGGGCAGGGTTTAAAAGTAATACTGAAGCCCACTGTTAGTGGGTTAGTCATTCATTGTGTCTTGTGTCCAGTCCTCTTTTTAGTTATAATAAATCGTCTTGGTTTGAATTCCAGTTTAGTAAATAAAGTGTTTGTCACATTCTTCTAGGTTGGCTACTGGAACGAAGAGGAGAGATACGTGACCACAGCTAGTCTCATGAGGGCTAGTAACGAAACGTATGGACTGCTGAACAGGACTTATATAGTCACCACTATTTTGGTAAGTCAAAAGAGACAACGATTTAATGGAGAAAGCGTAACATTTTTCATTTAGAGTAACATGTTACACTAGATTTTCTTCTCTAAAAGTGTCTTTAAAGATTCTATAAATGTTCAGTACCTTCAACAAATGTAACCATCTTCTAACACTTGTCTAGAAAAAAAGTCCCCCTGATGTTCTTCCCTCTCCTACAGAACTCGCCACCCAGCATCTGAGATGTTGGGGCTTTGAATGTCTTATTGAATAGGCAAGGGGTGATATCTGAACTAAAAGTACTAACATATAACAACCTCTGCTTTATGCCATTTGCATTATTGAAGTCTAGTATTCTACTTTTCCAGATACTTATGTTATAGTAAAAAAAAACAACTGCTGGTACCTTCTTGTTTACTTGCATTTATATATCTCTACATTGTGTTTCTGGTTAAAACCACAGTAAATTGCTCTTAACACTGTCAACAGACCACACCTCTGCACTTCTACTGTATTTGGTCAAGGTAACTTTAGTAAAGTCATCATCATTCTGAACATGCATATTTGACAGAAAGAGGTTGGTAGAATACAGTAGGTTAGATGAGAAAATATTTCATCTGGCCAACTGTCATGTCACGTACAGTACATGAACATGTTTTTGTCACAGTAAAGAGGCATAGCCAACAATATCAGACAGAATTGTATTACAGGATGATGAAGCATTATGTCCTTGCAGGTACAATAATTTCTAAGTGTATTGTTAAAAGTGAATTCTGTCACACACACAGTGTATCTATAGAAAGATCAGGTTATCGCCGGCCACCATGAAAGGGAACAATTGGGTAATTTCCTGTTTGCAAAATAAAAATAAACTGACAGGAACCGGGTTTATGGATTCAAGCCAGATCACAGACAACATGAAGGTTTAAAAGGTTTATTAATAATCTGATGGAGGTCTTGGTCCTTGGGCCAGCACAATCTGAAGAGACAGGAGCGTTAATGGACAGGAGTTTCATGGTAGTGTTCCGATTGTTCTGAAGACAGTCACCAACCTTCACAGACAAATGAGAGAAAGATTCCTTGAAGGAGTTGGTTGAGGTGACGTCACCAGTAGTGAAGAAGAGCCAGCTTCGAGACAGAGCGTGAGCAGAGCAAATAACCCAAGACAGGCAGGGAACGAGCAAGGCGAGGACTCAGTGACGCAGGCGTGAGGTCAAAACCAGGAAGACAAATGAGACTGTGACATGAATGCTGGACATTTACTCACTGTGAGGCTTTCAATAATCTGACACTGGAGGACTGAGAACCTGAAACTTAAATAGGGCAGGGAACAGGTGAACGGCAGGAAGGCTGATTGCAGTGGAGTTCTTTAACTCTCTATTGATAGGAGTTAGCCAGGCCTTACTCTCACGGTTACAGCTGGTACAAAATGCTGCTGCACGATTTTTGACTGGTACAGGCAGGTGTGAACACATCACTCCAGTTCTGATGTCCCTTCACTGGCTTCCTGTCCAGTTTCAAATTCATTTTAAAGTTCTATTGTTTGTTTTTAAGTCTTTGAACGGTCTTAGTCCATCTTATCTGTCTGAACTGCTTCACTTTTACATACCATCACGTGCTCTTAGATCCTCTGACCAGATGCTTTTAGCAGTCCCGAAAAACTTTTATAAATCCAGAGGAGACAGAGCCTTTTCAGCTCTGGCTCCTAAACTGTGGAATGAGCTGCCGCTGGAGGTCAGGCAGACCCCGTCACTTTCTGTTTTTAAAACTCGTTTAAAAACTTTTTTTTTTTTCATTGGCTTTTAACCTAGTGAGTCAGCATCTGTGTCTTAATGTTGTATTATTTTACTTATGATGTTCTGATTTTTTTTTTAATGTATATTTAGATGTTTTTATTGTTTTACTGTTTTTTGTTTGTTTTTAATTTTGTACAGCACTTCGGACGGCTGCTTGTTGTATTTTAAGTGCTTTAGAAATAATTTGGTATGGCATGGTATGGCATGGTATAGGTAACAAGGGGCATGGCATGGGGTGAAAGGAGCAAGAAGAGTTGAAGGATGGGTGATATGCAAAACTGAGCTTGACAGCATAAACAAGGCATGATGGACAGAAACTATGTGAGGCAGGGGCAGAAACGTGACATAAACTACTGGACAGACTGTAATGAAACTAATCACTGGAAGTACATCTACAGCTTATTAAAATCTGAAGACAACTCAGTCCAAGATGGCCACATCTTGTAGAATTAAGCTACCATTTCATGTCATAGTGTCTGAGAGTCTTCTTAAACAGATACTCCTTGCACTGACAAATCATACATTCAAAGCTGCAAGCAAAACGCATTCATTCGAAACATGCCATTTTAATTTTAAATCAGAATAGTTTTTGGTTATCATTGCTTCCATATTGTTTTGTTGGAGTTAAACATGCATTTCTATACAAAATTAGTATGAAGAAAAAGACATTTGAAGAAAACGCTAGATGTAATTAAAGGCCTTGGTTATAATTTAGCGACGGGCAACAAAGCCGCTGAAGTAAATTTAAATATAAGAAAATTTGCAATAGTGATATTTAGTAAGTAGATAAGTAAAGATTGCTGTGATGGACGTGCGACCTGTCCAGGGTGTACCCTGCCCCTCGTACAGTGATTGCTGGACATGGGCACCGGCGACCCCCCGTGACCCAAAATGGAAAAAGCGGGTAAAAGATAATGGATGGATGGATAATAAAGAGACCATAAAGGCAGCACGGTGGTGCAACTGATCGAGATGCTACCTCTCAGTGCGCAGGTTCTTGGTTCAAATCTCGGTCCGGGGGCCTTACTGGGTGGAGTTTGCATGTTCTCTCCGTGCATGCGTGAGGTTTCTCCGGGTACTCCAGTTTCCTCCCACAGACCAAAAGCATGCATGTTAGGCTGATTGGTAACTCTAAATTGTCCCTAGGTGTGAGTGAGAGAGTGCATGTTTATTTGTCTCGTTTGTCTCTATGTGTCCTTGTGATGGACTAGAGATCTGTCCAAGTTGTACCACGCCCCTCGCACAATGATTGCCGGACATGGGCACTGGCGACCCCCGTGACCCAAAATGGAAGAAGCGGGTAAAATATAATGGATGGAGACATTAAAGCAGGAGTTGTGTGTTGTTCTGTTTGAGTTAAAAAAGTAGCAGCAGCATTTTGGATCAGATGAAAACATTCTGGGCCTTCTTTGTTAAAATGTATGAGAGGGGGAAAAGCAAAGAATAATCACCTGTAGTTGTTGTTTTGACACCAGCGCTACTTATTTGGAAATGTTCTTCCATGATAAAAAACGGTTTCAAACTAGTTGTTCTGAATGACCTTCAGCAGAACAAGATTATAATACAGCAAAAAGTGAAAAAAAGTCAATGATAAAAGACTGTTGTTAAATAATGTATATTGGAATATATTTTTATTAGATTAAAATATCTGCTGGTATTGTTGTGGACAGTAAGTTCTTGCACAGTCTGAGTATAGGTAAACACATGTTTAACAATTGTGACAGTGCATAAAAGCTTTCTGTGTGAAGAGTATCCAGGATCAAATAGCTCTGCTGGCGACTCACACCATGATGCTAATAGCATCTGATTTGTTTTGACTGAACACGCTACATTCCTCTCCTTTTTGTTCTATCTTGTACCAACACATATATATTTGGCATTTGTTTTGCACATGCAGAAGTGCTCCAGTGCTGCATGGATTTGTTTGTATGTGTGGCTGAGTGACAGCAGATCTCTGTTGAAATGTTCAGTCAGTGAGGCTGAGTCCTGCGGATCTGTGGCACGCGTGTTTGGTTTTGTCTGACTGTAGACACATATGCTGAGTAAGCAAATAAAAGCAGTCCTTTGCCTTCATTTCCTCCTTAGTGTGTCATTTGTCTACCAATGAGCCAGTGGAGGCTTTGTCAAGCAAGGATTTATTTCAGTGCAAACCAGGACTGCACATATAACTATAACACACTGAAGAAATTCCTCTGCATTTCTAAATACAATAGTCCCTCTTTTATCACCTGGAATTCGTACCCTGAAGCCCCGCCATATGTGAAAAACTGCAAAGTAGGAATAGTAGTACAAGTAGTAAGTAATAATTTAATTTAGTATACAGTAGTCCCTCGCTACTTTGCGGTTCGTTTATTGCGGACTTGCTCTATCGCGGTTTTTCAATATAACATTGGACATGACATACAATTGGCTGATTGATGGATGGACGATCAGCATGCAATTTTTATTTTAAATGAATTATTTTTAATTTATTTAGCACCTGCTGCACCTGTGTGCAGCCCATACTGCAGAATAAACTTCCTGCTGCAGCTGATCGGCTGTTCAGCGCGCAGAGTGGAGAACTGGGCGTGGCCAAGAGCACTTGCAGGGGCAAAGAGCAGGGGGCTGAAATCATGACCTTCTGTGCTCTTTTAGAGTGTTTAGAGTTTAGAAACATGGTTTAGAATATTGCAAGAGTGTGTGAAGGGGTTTAAATGTCTATATATATATATATATATATATATATATATACATATAAACGTCTATTTACTACTTGTACTACTATTCCTATAGACAGACAAATTCGGAAAGCGTATCTGTGGGGGCCACATCTGATTGGACGAGGCATATCCGGGGGGCTATATCTGACTGGACTATAGGAAAATGAGCGTGTCGGGCGGGCCACATCTGATTGGACAATTAAAAAATGGGTATGTCTGGCGGACTACATCTGATTGGACGATAGAAAAATGAGCGTGTCTGGAGGGCCACATCTGATTGCACACACAAAAAAAAGGTTGAACAAAAAAAAAAAGCCGTTTGTGTCAACTAAAGACATATTATGTCTAAAAACAAGGCGTTATTGGCAGATTGTGTTAACCACAGACATATTATTTCTATGGTGTTAACTGGTTCGACATTAGCGGCGTCTCATGTTCAACATTGGCGGCGTCTCGGCTCGACATTAGCGGCGTCTCCATAACTTCTCTTTCCGCCTTTCTTAACACAGAACTTCCGGTTACATTTCAAAAT